ACTAAACTGTTTTCTAAAATATTGCTCCATTTTACATTCCCACCAGCTATATATGAGAGTTTCAATTTTCCACATCCTCACCAACACTTGTTAATCTCTGTCTTTTTCATCATTGCTATCCTAGTGGATGTGAAGTGACATCTCATTGTGGCTTTGATTTGCATCTTCCTAATGAACAGTTATGCTGAGCATCATTCATGTTCTTACTAATCATTAATATATCTTCTTTGGAGTAATGTCTATTCAAATCCTTTACTCATTTTTAATTAGATTGTTTATTTTTTGGCCCTTGTTGAATTGTAGGACTTCTTTATGTGTTCTGGATTTTAATCTCTTATCAGATAATACTAGAGGCCCGGTGCACAAAATTCACGCACGGGTAGGGTCTCTAGGCCTGGTTGGCGATCAGGGCCAATTGGGGCCATCCTTTCCCGGCTGCCAGCCAGGGCCTTCCTTTGTTCTGTGCCACCCCATGTTGGTCAGTGCATGTCATAGCAAGCGGTCAAACTCCCGGTCAGTTGAACTCCTGTTAGCCTTTTATTATATAGGATGATTTGCAAATTCTTTTTTTCTTTTTTGCAAATATTTTTTCCCATCTGTAGGTTGCCTTTTTTTTCTGTTGATAGTGTTCTTTGATGTACAAAACTTTTTAATTTTGATGAAGTTCAATTAATCTGTTTTTTCTTTTGTTGCCTGAGCTTTTGGTATCATATCAATATCATTGTCAAATCCAATGACATTACTTTTTTCCACTATTTTTTTCTTCTAAGAGTTTTATGGTTTTAGTTCTTATATTCAGGTCTTTAATCCATTTTCAGTTAATTTTTGTATATGATATGAAGAGTCCCGGCACATGGATATTCAGTTTTCCCAATACTATTTGTTAAAAAGCATATCTTTTCCCATTGAAATGTTTTTGAGCATGTCCATTGAAATGTTTTTGACGTGCTTATTTAAAATCATTTGACCATATATATATATACAAGGGTTTATTTCTGGATTCTCTCTTTTATTCTATTGGTCATGTTTGTTTTTATGCAATATAGACTTTTCAAGATACCATTTTTAACTCCCCAGATTGGCAATATATCAAAACATTGATAACATTTAGTAGTGGAATGAACGTGGGGAGATGAAAACTCTCATACATTACTGGGGGAAATGAGAATTGCTATAACATTTTTGGAAAATAATGTGTCAGTACCTTTCACATTTTAATGTGGTATATGGGATCTTTTATACAGAAATAAAAATACTAGTACATAAGCATATGTGTACAAAGATATTTATTATGGCATCATTTGTAGTGGGAAGAGGCTGAATTGAAAAATAGATAGCTACTCTCTCTGCATCTTTCTCTTCCTGGAGTCACACGCTTTCTCATCTGTTTCTGTCTGCATTTCTTCCTGGACTTGCATATAGATCAACAAGGTCACCAGATTTGAGTCTCTTTGACCTTACAAATTTCAGTGTTCACCACAGTCTCAGTCTAGAGTTTCCATTTTGTTCATTTACAAATCTGCGATGTTGTTTTTTATGTCACTTTTTATAGTTTCTAGTTCTCTACCAAGGTTTTCAAGTTTGGCTCTTATTGCCTTGAACATAGTACACAGAATTGTTTTACAGTCTGTGTCGAATGATTGCAGCATACAGAATCCCTGTGGATCTGTTTCTATTATCTGTTATTTCTCCTCCTTATTCATGGTGTTTTGTCCCCTCAGGTGCCTGGTTATTTTTGTGTGGGGCACTGTACTTGAAAAAATTTTTATCTAAATAACTTGAGGCCCAGAATATTTTTCTTCACAGAGGATTTTTATTTGTTCTTGCCATGAACAATTAAAGCCAATTTAGTACAAGTTCAGGCCCTGAGATTTTTCTAGGCCACTTAGATGATATAAAGTCAGCCTGCAGTCTGTATGAGGTTTAGTTTAATTCTAGTGCTCCCTTACATCTAAAGTGCAGAGGATAATATATCAGGGTCATCACTCTTTATGAGTTCTGAACCCCAACTTTTTTTCTTTTTTAAAAAAAATTTTTTTATTATATATATATTTACATTTATAGATGCTTTCTATTTATTTCAAGGGGTTATGGTTTTCCATTTACAGTAGTGATACAAAGGTGTGTTTTTTGAGTATATTTTTATTGATATCAAAGGGAGAAGGAGAGAGCGGTAGAAACATCAATGATGAGAGAAAATCATTGATCAGCTGCCTCCTGCACGCCCCCCACTGGGGATCAAGTCTGCAACCCAGGTATGTGCCCTTGACCGGAATCGAACCTGGGATCCTTCAGTCCGCAGGCAACACTCATCCACTGAGCCACACCAGCCAGGGCCTGAACCCCAACTTTTATCCCTATAGGCTCTCAATGCTGCCCAAAGTGAAGCTTACATTCCTAGTCACTTCTTCTGAATCAGTATATGCCTCCAGACAAAAGCAGCTTGAGTGCCAAGCTCATCGCTCCAAACTTCTTACCTATCCAAAATCTTGGACCAGTAATTCCTCACTAATTTGTTAGTTGTTAGATGCTTTTAGATAATGCTTTTTATATTTCATCCAGCTTGTCTAGCTGTCTTCAGTAGGAGGGTTGACTTAAATTATATAGTCTAGCATTACTAACAATGAAAGTCCATTTGGTTTATTTTATTCCTGCAAGAGAAAATCTCATTAGCTCCAGTCAAGAGTCCATTCCTGGTTTTGTGGCCAGGGATACAGGGTCATTCAATATATAATAGGCTTGAAGAGGACAGGTTCCTAAGAAGAGAATGTGAGCATAGGAGAAATTATTGGCATCTCAGAAAAACCAAATTACTTGCTGTTCTCTACATTTACCCTCCCATATCATATTTCTGTAATTTTTCATATGCTATCGCCTCAGCCAAATTTCTTCCCCTCCTGTTCACTAGGCAAACTCCTATTTCTTTTTCAAGACTTAACTCAAGTATTGTTACTGCAAATCAAAAACAAGCAAACAAATAAAAAAAAACTCAGACATGCTCTTTGTAATGTGCATAAACTTCTTCATAGCAATTATTCTATCTTTTAGGACAGAAATTGTGCCAAGAACAAGAACAGGAGAAAGAGAGAAACATTGATGTGATATGTGCCCTGACTGGGGATTGAACCTGCAACCTAGGTATGTGCCCTGACTGGGAATCAAACCCACAACCTTTCAGTATATAGGCTGATGCTCCAATTAATATTTCAGAGAGGAAGGGAGAAGGGCAGAGAGATAGAAACATCAGTGATGAGAGAGAATCGTTGATCAGCTGCCTCCTGCACGTCCCCAACCCAGGTATGTGTCCTGACCGGGAGTTAAGCCAGTGACCTCTTTGTTCATGGGTCAACGCTCAACCCCTGAGCCACACTGGCTGGGCAAGTTTTACCTTTTAAATTTAAACTGTACAATTCGGTAGTTTTGAGTATATTCACCAAGTTGTGCAAGCATGACCACTATCTAATTCCAGAACATTTTCATCAACTTCCAAAAGAAACCTAGTATCTGTTAGCAACTATGCTCCATGTTTCCCTCCCCCTAGCCTCTGGTGACCACTAACTTACTTTCTGTCTCTATGGATTTACTCAGGACATTTCATATACATGGAATCATACAATATGTGGCCTTTTGTGACTGGCTTCTTACACATAGCATAATGTTTTCAAGTTTCATCCATAGTATAGCAACTTTCAGTTGATTATGGCCACCTTTATTCCTTTTTACTTCTGAATAATATTCCATTATATGGATATACCATATTTTGTTTATCATCAGTTCAGACACTTGGATTGTTTCTACTTTTTTGCTATTATGAATATTATGAATATTGATGCCACAAACATTCATTACAAGTGTTTGTGTAAACAAAGTTAATTAATACAGAGTGACTAATTAATGTACTAATTATGCATTAATTAACACAGAAGTAATAGAATGTGGTAAGCATCATGTAGTGGGTTTTTATTTGTTTTGGCTGCCCAGCATCTATTCCTCCTTCTTCTTAGTAACAATACCCATATTCTCTTTTTTTCTAAATATTTTTAATTGATTTTTAGATAGAGAGGAAGGGAGAGGGAGAGAAAGAAACATCAATGTAAGAGCGAAACACCAATCAGCTGTCTCCTGCACACCCCCTACCAGAGATCGAGCCTGCAACCCAGGCATGTGCCCTAAAATTGAACCGGCAACCTTCTGGTACTGGACAATGCCCAACCGAGCTACACCGGTCAGGGAAATAGCTATATTCTCTTATAAGGACACTTTCAAGAAAGCTGACTTCACACCAAATCCAGGGTAAACCCTATTTAGGTTAAGATCAGCATATCCTACCTCCATGAATATTGATTAGTTTAGCGATGGGCAAGTGACCTTAATTCAGGCCAATGAGATATGAAATGACCTTTGCTAGGCTTCTGGAAAAGATGCTTCTTTGTTGTTCTGAAGTAGCTTCCTTGAAAGATGTTCTCTTCCTACTAGAGATGAGGGAAGCACATGTAGCTTTCCTAGAAACTGTTACAGCCATACTGAGGCAAAGGAGCAAACTGTACAAAATCAACTATTTTAGAAGAAACCAGCTCTTCGGAAACATCACTGAGCCTCAACAATGAGGACCAAACTTCACCTAAATTTTCAGTTGGTGACTAGTAAATTCCCTTAATTGCTTAAACCAGTTTGAGGTAACTTTTCTGCTGCTTAAAATCAAAAGATTACATCAGAATATTAACAAAAACTAAATTTTTATAGCACTTTATAATATAACTCTGAGCTATGTGAATTCAATGGTGAACACACTGGATACTGCCTGTGGAAATCATGAAAGGTTTCATGTAGAAAGTGACATCTGAATTACAACTTGCAATTTAGAAGGTATTTACTAAATATGCTGGGCTAAAGAAAATTAAGCAGATTTCTTTTATTGGAGACCTCAGAGACTTTAATATATTCATTCATATTATATTCATAACATGAATTATGAATATATCCAAGAGAGGAATATAATATCCAGTGTTTCCCAAATTTATTTCACCCTGAACACCTGGTAGTATCTTAAGGAATCCTGCTGGCTTCAGAAACACTGGTATGTATAGTGTGTTAATGGATGGCTAGAAGAGATTAAGACCATCTTGGCCCACTTTTTAGGAAGTTTGCATGAAGGTTAGGACATTTGAGAGAAATTTAAAGCAACTGGTAAACCCTGAACAAGTAGAATAGATCTTGGTAGCTTCTTGATCAAGTCAAGTTTATCAGCTAAGCTCTGTAGTCAAGAAGAAATCAGAAAGGCTAGTCATTAATGGTAAATCGTTCTTTAAACTTTATCTTTAAGGCTCTTTTTAATTTTTTTCTGGAGTCCTGGAGCAAATTCAACAAATAAAAGAAAATAACTATTAGTAAAGTAAGTTAAAGTGACACACTTAAAAACGTATTGCCTGCGGTATTTGTAGGAAATACCTGCAGAATAGAGGCATGAGTAATGAGCAACTGATTCCTTTAACAAGGTAGTTGGTGATGCACTTGTCACATCTCAGTTTCACTATATAATTGTAAATGTACCCTGAAATAAATACCACATCTTTTCAGCTCTAGCTATCATATAGGAACAATTGATAGCTGGAGAAAACTGCAATTTATAGTTGACAAAATTAGAGAATTAAAGGTTGTTACTCTACTAAGACAGGATCATTAAGTCTCTAAAACCCATTTACAATAATTGATAGTAACTCCATTTAGCCCAGCTGAAGGAGTCAGTGAATAGAGCATCGGCCTGTGGACCAAAGGTGCCTGGGTTTGATTCTGGTCAAGGGCATGTACCTTGGTTGCAGGCTCCTCCCCAGCCTGGGCCCAGGGCTTGTGGAGGAGGCAACCAATCGATGTGTTTCTCTCACATCAATGTTTCTCTCTGTCTTTCCCTTTCTCTCCCATTCTCTCTAAAATTCAATGGGAAAATATCCTTAGGTGAAGATTTTTAAAAAGAATAAATAAATAAATAAATAAATAATAAACAAACAAACCCAAATACTATTTCTAGAAGAGCTACCTGGTAGAAAGAAGAAAATACAAACACTGATCTTTTTTCTTTAAGAGTAAAGGCTTCATTGACTCTTATATGCATCAGCCAGTGCTTATCCAAATTCTAGGCTGAAATAGTATCTTACATACCGCACACCTATTAATAGAAGGCCAATTTGTCCCAAAGCAAGAAAAGCACACAGAACCAAATTCCTGGGCAGCAAAATGCAAATACTGACAAAATAAGCAGTTTACAGGGAACTTCTTATCAACAGCTAAGTATTTAAAGGTAGAGAAAACCTGAGATATTCCTCAAGGTCCCAGATTGATACATCAAACATTCACTCCCAAGTTTGCTACTTAGTAACTGAGTCTCTAGCTAAACTATCTTAAAAAGACGTAAGCTCCACCGGCATGACTCAGTGGTTGAGTGTCAACCTCTGAACCAGGAGGTCATGGTTTAATTCCTGGTCAAGTTATATGCCTGGGTTGCAGGCTCAATACCCAAGGTGAGCCTGCAGGAGACAGCTGATCAATGATTCTCTCTCATCATTGATGTTTCTATCTCTCTCTCTCTCTCTTCTTTCCTCTCTGAAATCAATAAAAATATATCTTTTAACAAGAAAAATAATACACCCTGACCGGTTTGGCTCAGTGGATAAAGCGTCGGCCTGTGGACCAAAGGGTCCCAGGTTTGATTCCAGTCAAGGGCATGTACCTTGGTCCAGGGCATATCTCAGTGGGGGTGTGCAGGAGGCAGCTGATCGATGTTTCTAACTCTCTATCCCTCTCCCTTCCTATCTGTAAAAAATCAATAAAATATATATATTTTAAAAAATACATAAAGTATGCCTTAGCCGGGTGTCTCAGTTGGTTGGAGTGTCTTCCTATACACCAAAAGGTTGCAGGTATAATCCCGTTCAGGGCTCCTTTGGGAGACAACCAATTGATGCTTCTCTCTTACACCAATGTTTCTCTCTCTCTTCCTTCCTTCTTCTCTAAAAATAAATAAGAACATACCCTCCGGTGAAGATAAAAACTAACAACACATAAAGTATAAGAAAGCAATTACCTCTGCTCTGTCCTTTTAAAATTGTTACAATATTCTTCGGACCCAAAGATTTGTTCCTTACCTTGAAATCTTCCACTTCCCCCAATGCTAAATCTTTTTTCTTTATATTTTACTCTGCTTCCCTGAACACGATTCCCAAAGGTTTTTTCAAATAAACCATTCGATATTTTAGGAATAAAATATATGGCATATTTTCAACAGAATCAAAAGGCAATTCAAGATTCTACACTTTGGGGCTTAACAAAAGATCACTCATTGATTAAAAAATAATAATATTCTGATTCCTTTCAAATGTTTCCATTGGGCTATGAAAGTTTTTATTGTAAAGACAAATATTATCAACCACTATTTTTTCTTAAATTATTTTCAGCATAGTTGTTGTGGCTCAATTGGTTGAGCGTCATCCCGTGCACCAAGAAGTTGCTAGTTCATTTCTGGTCAGGGCACATGCCCAGGTTGTAGGCACAAGCCTCAGTAAAGGGGCATGCAGCAGGCAACCAATTGATGATTTTCTCTCATTGATGTTTCTATCTTTCCCTCTCCCTCTCTCTATGAAACCAATAAAAACATATTTTTAAAAATTATTTTCAAAATATCCTGTAAGTATAAAATAATGTACAATAGATATACAAATGTACAAGGGTATCTTTCATTACCTTAAAATAAAATTATCCCAGCTACTTCCCCATGGTATCACCCCAGGAAGTGAAAATCAGAAAATACAATTATTTCTTCACATTTCACCAATGGCATAGATGAAAAGAGAGAGAAAGAATGCACAAGCTATGGCTGCTCTTGAATGAAAAAAGGCAAAAATGAGGAAATAAGGAAGAGCCAGGTGACTGAGAAGAAGTAAGAGCTAAGAAAAAGATAAGGGAGGAAAGAGAGAGAAATTGACCCAAATCTGTAAAATCGGGCTGTAGAAAATATCAGGTCCAGATAGAATGTGGGTGCTGAGATAGAAAGACTGCTCACTGTACTAGGAATTAGAATAACTGCATTCTTGCTGCACCTCTGAGATATCAGCTTATGATGCTAACCTCTGTTTTCTCATCTGAAGTATAAGGAGATTGAACAAAATGCCTCTGATGTTCCATTTCTAACTGTCTATCAGTTGCTGAAAGGCTCCCAGGCATGGGAAACTAATAGAAGCCAACATGGAAAATTAGAGGAATCTCAAGCTTAGAAAGACTCTCACAAAGTGTATCAGGACAGAAGAACAGCCAGGATAGGAAAAGAAACTGAGAAGTTGAAGAGTCAAAAGCAGATACCACATGAACTATCTCTGTTTTTCTACCATTGCTATAAGAGAAGAAAAAATACATTACTACCTAATAACATGCTTTCTTCTATTAGGTTGAGCCACATGAAATTATTGGTATTCAATTATTACCCCAAAAAATGACAATTTCATGATTCAAATTAAGATTTTCCATCTCACACTGAAAACAATGACCTGATTTATACTGATTGACATAGAAAATGATAGATTTTATTTAATTTTTTATAAAGCTGATATTACTCAGTAACTGGTAAAACTATTAAACGGCCCCACATCTATTGTTGTAATTAATCTCCTTATTTCAAGATGAATTCTGAGATGCTATATTCCCTTCTTTTCAGTGTATTATGCCTCCATTTTCCATCAGTTAAGGAAACTGAATCACAGAAATGAAAACATACAATTTTCTTTAGATAATATTGAAGAAATCTTGAAATGGAGTGGCCTATGGGAAGAAGTTTAAACAATAATGCTACATTAGTCTCTGGGAGAAGGAATACAAATAATATATAAAAGAAAGCCAGTCATGTACAGAAAGAGGCTGGCAATAAGAAAAATGTTGAACCTACAAGAGGAAAGAGATATCCCAACCAAATAGCTCAAAAACTTCAAATTGATCCTTGCCTAATCATGAAGGAACTGAAAGAAGCATTCCGTTGTTACTCTGGTTCCTTAGTAGAAGGAACTAGCTCTAAGGAACCAAGACATTAAAAAGAGAAGTAAAAAGGAGTGGCTCAACCTTTGTCATTCAAACACAAACAACAACGGATTTACTTGAGGACCCACATCTGGAGATCTGAGGTTTGGCCATAACCCTGTCACTAACTTGTTGTGTGGCCTTGAACAAGTCTTCACCTTCCAAAATCTGAATTGTCATCTCGTCAAAGTAAGGAGGTGGAACAAATGATCTCAAGCAATATAATTTCAAACTTACAAAAAATTTTCAAGCATAGTAGAAGGAAGTCTCCCCTAAGTCCTTTTTCTGACACATTTGTAATACCTTAACTAATAAAGAATTAAAAAATAAATAAATAAAAATCAGTATCAGTGACTTGGTTAACCTGGTGATTAATGAGGTTCTTCCATTATTCTCCCTTTGTAAGTATTAAGTAATTTAAGGAAAGACACTTCACCATGTAAATATCCTGCTGCCCAGCAAACTTACACCCACCAGTTTTAGCATCCATGACACTAACAGTTTCTTTCTTTTTTTTAAATTGAATGTATTGGGGTGACATTGATTAATAAAACTATATAGGTTTCAGGTATACAATATATCACCTGTATATTGTATTGTGTTCACCTCAAGTCTCCTTCCATCACCGTTTATTCCTCTTATACCCTCACCACAAATGAGTTTCTTACTCCATCATTCCATCTGTAGTCATTAGTTGTCATCCTACTAAAAGGAAAGGCTTTCACTTTTCCTACATTTATATAATGATTCATCTACTTATTTATATCAGTGTGGACTCGTAGATTCTTATTTTATTCTCAATGGTTTATAACCCATTACTAATAGTATTTATTTTTATTAAAGCAGGGTTCTTAATATTTTTTTGTACCATGGACCCATTTACCAGTGTGGAGAAGCCTATAAACTTCTTCTCAAAATAATGTTTTTAAATGTACAAAATAATTATGAGGATATTACACAGGTTTACAGTGAAAACCTATTATACCAAAATAGTTACCAAAATATTAAAAATTTATGTTACAGTAATAAATCTGTTTCTTTAGCAACACATTAAATAACAAGATCTAGAAATGAGTGCAAGCTCTATCAGTGTGTCTGCAACAACTGCAATGTGATGAAATTATCTGTGCTTTCTAATCCAACAGTTACAAGTAAGGTACTACTAATCCTGCTGTGGTTTTGTTACTAATATTTATACTAAAAGGCAGTGTGAAATTTAATTATGAATTAGTGAAAATAAAGATGTAATTTTCCCCATCTACCTTCATGGACCCAGTGACTTCTATCCTGGATGCCAGACTGAGAATCCCTGATATAGTCTCCTTGTGCCCCTAACCTCTCTAAGACTCTAAGTCTACCTTAATAGCACATCATTTTTCAGGCCCCAAATTTCAGTCCCTCAATATAAAAGTTCTCCCATCAATGTATAAAAACTAAATAAGATTTGAAAGGACACAAATTTGAGTAAAAGAAAAAAACTGCTTTAGGAATCCAGGGTCCTGCCTGACTCAGTGGTTGAGCTATGAACCAGAAGGTTATGGTTCAATTCCCAGTCAGGGCACATTCCAGGTTGAGGGCTCAATCCCCAGTGTGGGGCATGCAGGAGGCAGCCGATCAATTATTCTCTCTCTCCATTGATGTTGTTTCTCTTTCTCTTTCTCTCTCTCTCTCTCTCTCTCGCTCTCTCTCTCTCTCTCTCTCGCTCTCTCTCTCTCTCTCTCTCGCTCTCTCTCTCTCTCTCTCTCGCTCTCTCCCCTCTCCCTTCCTCTCTGGAATCAATAAAAATATATTTTTTAAAAATCCAGGGTCTTATAGCACTAAGGCAAAGAAGTAGCCCCCTGAAGACTGGCCTGGACCTGTTATAGGTCCAGCGAAACTGAAACCCATATAAAAGGAATAACTTACCCAGGATCTGACGAAGAATAGAGTCTACAGGCAATGGCCAGAAAAGTCATCTTTAGAAGGCTTGGTGATGAAAAGACTTAATGGGCATCTATTCAAATTGTGGATTCTAAAATGACTGAAGAAATAGAAGCCTTAGGAATTCCAGCTTGGATGTAAGGATCTGTTTATGCTATATGACATAGAGACTGAAAATAAAGGGGAAAACAAGGCCTGAATTCCATTATTATAAAGCTGATGAGTTGTGTCAACTTTTCTAGTTTTTAGTGCAATATGATTTTCCCTTAAGAAATCAGATATTCTTAGCTGGTATGACTCAGTTGGCTGGAGCGAGTTCAATTCCCAGTCTGGGCACATACATAGGGCACATAAAAGTCAGGGCACAATCGGTTGCAGGAGGCAACCAATTGATGTTTCTCTCTCCCCCATCTTTTTGTATTTGTAAAATACAAAATAAAAAAGAAATCAGATAGTGTCATTGTTCTCCCAGTTCAGTGATAATAAACCACAGCAGTTTGACTATAATGAATGTGAATACAGTCACATAAGAGAGTTCTGAAAATTATCCCTAGATTTACTAAATAATACATTTTCTCATGTGATTTTTTTTTCATTATACTTAAGAAAGACCATGTTCGTTGGGTTCTTAAAACTTAACTTCTGGATTTAAATGTCAGAAATAAAACAGGATTGAGCTGAAAAACCTAGTTATATTATCTTAAAGCACCAACCGCATGAGAGGCAACAATTTGTAGATCAGGACGTAACAGCAATGTTGAAGTTGCAGTGAACTCTCCGAGTAGAAGAAGGAGCCAAGCAAAAACAATTAAGAATAGCTGAATGAAGCTAAAGTTTATAAAATCATTGTAGAAGGGTAAGTTTGAACAATCAAGTTTAAATGCAATGCTTTCTAAAGTGGTCAAAAAGTATTTAAATTCAAGATACATGTTTAATCCCTTGGCTGTAAGCGATTTTCTTTGGGGGTGGGTGGGTAAGAGTTTTTGATCTAACATTAAATCAAAGGATTCTCCCCTCCTACTACTTTAGGAAGTTTGAATTCCACTGCAAACTAGATTTTACTTCTCTACCACTGATCTTCCTTAAAACTCCTCACCGAATCTATGCATGCAGGCAAGTGTTTAAATGCAAGGTTATTTCATCCTTCCTGAAATAAAAGCTATGTTTTTGAACACTCATGTAAAGTTAAACAGTAGATAATTCTTAAGTCTATCCCAGTTTTCTTCAGTGTTTAAAATCTGAAGACCTGGACATCCTTAAAGTTCTCTTTCCTGACACTCCTACGATCTTATTTTCCAACATTGGACTTGTCATTACTCATATCGCCATTAAGTCACTGTCTGTGCCTGCTCCTTTCTGTTGAGATGCTTAACTATTCATTGTTCCCACCTCTTGATCTACATGCTGAGAACCTGAGAACGGCATAATGAACAGACGAACATTTTTGGAAACCTCAAATAATATATAACTTTTTAAAAAATATTTCTTATTGACTTCAGAGAGGAAGGGAGAAGAAAAGAGAGATAGAAACATCAATGATGAGAGAGAATCATTGATCAGCTGCCTCCTGCATGCCCCACACTGGGAATCCAGCCCGCAGTCTGGGCATGTGCCCTTGACCAGAATCCAACCTGGGACCCTTCAGTCCATAGGCTGACACTCTATCCATTGTGCCAAACTGGCCAGGGCAAATAATATATAACTTAAGTGATTTTAAAAATGAAATAATCTGAGCTCTGGCTGGTGTGGCTCAATTGGTTGGAAAGGTTCCAGGTCCAATACCCGGTTGGGGCATGTACTGGAGGCCTTCGATTGATGTTTCTCTCTCTCTCTCCCTGCCCCCGTCTCTAAAGTTAATAAAAACATAACCTTGGGTGAGGATTTTAAAAAAAAAATAAATAAATAAATAAAATAAAATAATCTGGAAATGAATTTTTACTGATTTGAGCCTGTGATGGAGAGTTTTATCTCCACTACTAGATCGATTCTTAAAAATAGCCCTGTTGCCTGGCCAGCATGGGGCATGCAAGAGGTAGCCAATCAATGATTCTCTCATCATTGATGTTTCCATCTCTCTCTCCCGCTCCCTTCCTCTCTGAAATCATTGAAAAAAACATATTTTTAAATTAAAAATAAAAATAGTCCTGTCTTGTCCAACTTTATATTCCACAAAAGACCTAACATAGTACTATGCCCACCGAAGGCATTCATTTACTGAAAATATGTTCAGAAAGTGTTAGCATGCAACCCTCTCAGTCTATTTAGCATATAACTGTCTCGTAACAAACCTGGACTGGTTCTTCAGACCATCTATGCTTAGAAGACACCAGCCCAATAAATAATCTAGAAATATGTGCAATAGAGGAAAATCATGGTAAAACTGTCATTTAAAACAAAGCAGATCCATATTTACAATGCTTGGAATAAGACTCTGAAAACATTTGAGTCTCATATAATGACTCTCTAGATGTACATGAAATTACACAAGTCTTCTGTTTCCTTTAATTCCCAGTTATAGCTTTAAAGTACACAAAAAGTTTGGAGTCAGTGCTTTAAGATTTTGTATGGAATCTCTTGCAAGTCTCTCATAGACTCCAGATCATTTTAATCAGAGCTGAAGCCCAGGGAAGAATTGACTTTGGGATGGGGGAGGGGGAAGCTGGGGAATTCAGAATAATAATTAATAACCAATCATCAACAAAATTAACTTTTAAAATAAATATACATTTAAATCAAGGAGACAAATTCTGCCAAAATGTTTTCAAAATGGAAAGAATCGCCCTAACATGTCTGGCTCAGTAGATAGCGCATCAGCCCATGGGCTGAAGGGTCCTGGGTTTGATTCCCATCAAGGGCACGTAACTCAGTTGCAGGTGCCTGCAGGAGGCAACCAATAATGTTTCTTTCTCTGTCCCTCCCCCTTCCTTCCACTCTCTCTAGAAAAATCAATGGAAAAATATCCTCAGGCAAGGATTAACAACAAACACACAAAAAAACCAAGAAAGAATAACCTTGAATGGGAAAGGAATAAGAGAATTACAAAACCTAGGAGAAAACATTATACATCATGTTAAAAAATGACTTTGGTCCTGGCCAGATAAGCTCAGTTGGTTAGAATATCTTCCTGATACACCAAATTTAGGATTCGGTCCCAGTCAGGGAACATACAAGGAGCAACCAATGAATGCAGAAATACATGGAACAAGAAATTGATGTTTGTCTCTCTTTTCCTTTCTAAAATCAATAAATTAAAAATTAAGGAAATAAACCTCCCTTTAAAAAAATGACTTTACATTGAACAAATCACCTGTACCACCTCTAAAAGCTTATAAGATCTCCAATTGGCCCTTCTTTTTTTAAAATCTTACTTATTGATTAGAGAGAAAAACATCAATTTGTTGTCCCACTTATGCATTCATAGGTTGATTCTTTTTTTTTTAATATATTTTATTGATTTTGTACAGAGAGGAAGGGAGAGAAATAGAGAGTTAGAAACATCGATGAGAGAGAAACATCGATCAGCTGCCTCCTGCACACCCCCCCCACTGGGGATGTGCCCGCAACCCAGGTACATGCCCCTGACCGGAATCGAACCTGGGACCTTTCAGTCCGCAAGCCGACGCTCTATCCACTGAGCCAAACCGGTTTCGGCGGTTGATTCTTTTTTAAAGAAGTATTTTTATTGATTTCAGAGAGGAAGGGAGATGGTGATAGAAATATCAATGAGAGAACCACTGGTTGATGGATGGCTCCTGCACACCCCACACTGGGGATGGAGCCAGCAACCCCCGCATGTGCCCTGACCAGAACCTAACTGTGACCTCGTAGTTCATAGGTGGACACTCAACCACTGAACCACACTGGCCAAGTCTTTGGTTGATTCATGCATGTGCCCTGATTGGGGATCAAACTATTATCAAGACCAGGCTCCAAACAACTGAGCCACAAGGCCCGCCCTTCTTCTAAGGTAACCAATATGTAGTTTATTTGGAGTAAATTGTGACTTCTTAAAAATATTTTTTATTGATTTAAAAGAAGGGAGAGGAGGGAGAGAAACATCAATGATGCGAGAGAATCACTGATGGCTGCCTCCTACACGCCCCCTACTGGGGATGGAGCCCACAACCTGGGGACGTGCCTTGACCAGAATGGAACCTGGGACCCTTCAGTCCGTAGGCTGACGCTCTAACCACTGAACTACCGGCCAGGGCACGTTTCTGTGACTTTTGCTGACCGGGAGGGTACGGTTTGGCTTGAAGGACTGAGGGTTCCAAGAGAAAGATCGGAGACTTGGTCTGCAAGGCTGCTTACATTTCAGGGGGTCGAGGGCCCATCTTCCCAGCGTCTGGGCGTTCGAACTTGGGAACCACTCGAGGGGCCATTAGAGCCAAGCACGTCAGATCTCGGGGCCTTAACTTCCCCATCCGCAAAATGGGTCAGACGACCACTACTTCCAGGGGGGAGAGTCCAGGACTAGAACCCGCGGCCCCCGCCGACGTGAGAGCCGCCACCTAGTTAGTGGGAAGTGGGAGGTGGCGCCGAGAGGAGCGAGAACCGGGCAGTATGCAGGAAGTGCTTTAGGGTTGGGAGGGGAGAGAGGAGGCGGAGGCGGGAATGTGAAAGCCGAGCTCTCACTGCGGAGTTTGTTCCGAAGCTCAGGGAAGGCGGGGCGAAGCTGGGGTGAAGGGGTTTGTCAGTAGATGGGCGAGACGGGCTCCCTCCCCCTCGAAAAGAGAGGGCTGGGCGCGGGGGAGGCTCGGAGGCGGCGGCGGAGGAACGGGGGGAGGGGAAAGCGGA